GAATTAAACTTTCACTATCTAACTAAATTTTTATTTGTTGAAAAAGCAACTCACTTACCTGAGATGAAAAGAACAACTTCCATACCCTTTCGATCAACGTACGTAACTGCGGTTTCTCGAGTAGCACGGCGAAGCAACAGAGCAAGACCAGTGCAGCTCACTTCGGGATCTCCTCGACGAGGAGGTCTCATGTTCAGGACCGACAGTATGGATTTGAATCGCAGGCAAACCACTGAAGCGTGAAATAGTTCTCATATGTGGTCTGCTAGACCGGTCCCAGTAGACATGTAATCAGGCCTAATGTTTGACCTCTTTAGAGACAGCTTTGCTTTTTTAGTTAAGTGATTTCTGAATAGGTCCTAGGCTAACATGGAGCGTTTCTTGAAAGCACTAAGTGATTTCTGAATAGGTCCCAGGCTAACATGGAGCGTTTCTTGAAAGCACTCACACTTTATTTATTCATTTGATTACGCCTTCCTCATACATCCTTTTTTTGGGTGCTGATGGATGATCACACCACAGGAAAATTTATTCTTCGGGGGTACAACTGCAGTGCAACTTAGCACTACCTTAAAATGGTTTATTTCATGCCCTGTTGTCCTGATAAGGGCTGTTTTGTCACCCTTTAGAGGGAATGTTTTATTGCTTGGCTATATTTAATCACATTTGAACCTCACTACAAATCTTTACCCCCCATCCCAAATATCCTGAAACCATTTTTAACTTATCTAACACTGAATCCAACCTTCTTACTCTTTATCATCAAAAAAATTTCCCTCACAAATAACAACAAAAATCTTTCCGACAATTTTCTTCCTACAACTTTTACTTGTTTTCTCAGGCAACTTCCGCACACGTGTGCTTTGCTTTTGACTATTGTCCCCGTGCACACCCACACCACATTTCAAACTCTACTGACTTGGGCTATAATTTTTTGAGTGGTTGGCTTTTAGGTGAAGCGGAATATCCTCAAATGACCTTTCTTTATCACTTGTAGAAGTGAATGAATCTCAATACCAGCAACACCCGTCCCAGGGATCTTATCCATATCTAATGGGTAAATTCCAGTTGATTTGAAGGCTAAATCAGCATTTTTTAGGGTTCATATTTCATCGAAAAGTTACATCTGGTAAAACCAACCCCTGGTTTGTTCTTTATAATAGTCCCTCGAGGGTTTTTAGAGTGCAGTTTATCGAAGCAGATAGTGTATGGAGGTGGAGGCAAATACCTGGGTTACACTACTCACCGACCAATTCTGCAATAACATAAATTCCTACTTAAATTGTTTCAATAATGTAATCGGGTGTCATCGCCGAGATGTGATCTTGGTTTATTTATTATACAACCAATTGTTCTTACTTCAATGTAAATGTTCTCAATTAGGCTTTTCAAAAACCTATATTTTGTGTATATCAAAGGAACAATCCTGTTTCAGAGAACACAAAAAAAACGACCTAGTCATAGCGGTCAAAAATCGCAAATATATAATACAAAAGTGATTTTGTTTATTTATTATAGGTCCCCCACATCTTTCGATATTTTCTGCATTTTGACAGTTGACCCTGCTTTAGAAAGTTTTTTAGTAAATATGTTTCTAAACTTGCTGTAAACGATGACCAAAAATTGCATATTTCATACCAAAACGGTTATTGTACATTTGTTATATTAACATTTTTTTTAAACTTTAATATTTTTTTTTGTATTCCATCACTCACGTCTGACACTGGCCGCTTTGTGTATGCATTTGTAACCTTGTATGAAGATAACCCCATTTTGAAGTGTTCGAGGAGAACAGATGGGCGGGAATCCTTTTCGCTTATTTATAACGACAATATTTTCGTACACAAAAGTCTGTACTGTAAATATTTTTCGCAAATTCATAGGACCTCGTCTAGTGCGGCGCACGGAATAGGAGAAGATAAACATGCGGGATGCTAACAATCTTTACATACCGGCACTCGATATAAAACTTCAACAATGATGAATTGATAGCCAATTTATAAATGCAGAATTCAGATACTTCTAAATCTTCAAGACAGTTTGTTTTGGCGGCTGTTCTTCTTTAAAAAGAGGAAAACTTTCTTGCTCATGGTACTCTGAAATATTTGTTTCCGAAGGTCAAACTCTTTACCAAAATTGTGATCTCTTGGCGTTTGCGAAAACAGTGGTGATGTTTCGCATCCTTCTGCATCTTCGCGTTGACGCTGTATTTGGAATACGGTAAAGATCGTCCTATGTGTATGACAAAGGAGCCTTGTACTGCATCGATATTATTACAGAATAAATTTGATACAACATTCTATTGATTTTGTCGCCTGCAAACATGTTTGATCAGCGTCACTATTGTTCTCACTCCGAAAAAATACCAATATTTTTTCCGTTTTGAGCCGAGAGGTTCTACACTGTGAATGAAAAAGAAATCCCCACCAAAGTTTGTAAGGTAAACACCCAATAGCAGGAGATCATCACTGATATGGCTTCTATATAATTAGACACAAAAACAAACACAAAACATAAAAAAAATAGAGCTGTACTTGTCCTTTGCTGTGGAAAAGGTTATGTTAACTTGAACAAATTCAATATAAAATATATAACCAAAAAAAACAATTGAAATGAAACATTGACATGAAAATGTATAAAATGTTGATGGAATTTATTCTTCTTCCGGCACACTCTCTGTGGACACACTTTCTGCGGCGACAAGTTCATGGTATTCAGATTCCGGGAAATTTTGTCCAATGGATGTTGATGGTTCATCGGTTCTTGTTTTTTTATAGGGGATTTCACATTCTTCCGACTCTGTGGTGACATGCGTGGCGACAGGTTCGTGTCCGAATTCCAGTAACTTTGATTCCATTATTACCAAATCGCTCATATGCAGTTTGAATTTGCATGTGACCGTGTCGGAAGAACGTTTCTCAGGCCGAAACCAACCTAATATCCGGTAGCCTTTGTGTTGACGTAGTGACATTTTTAAGAATCCCAACATTTTTCGGTAATCGATTGTTGTCGCAGGCGATACAGACAGCAATTCCCGTTTGAAAACGGCCAACCTCAACTTCCTGCTGCTGTATGGCTCCCGTTTAACTTGCATGTCGGGTATATGTATTTGGATTTGAGCCACCAGCATTCTATTCTGGCCATAACTGGCTGGACAGTCAATTCCATATCGGCCATCGCAATAATTATGTATACAACTTTCGATGAAATTTGAACTAGTCACTTTTATGTTTTCTGCATTAAAACTGAATGCAGTCATGTCTGTTGAGGATAATTGCCCAACAGGTATATCGGATATAATCGGGACTGGAGGGGCGCGAGCGGGCAAAATTGGGTGATTAGTGGTTATCACCGGTAATCCTCACTCATTCTCGCAGGTCGTATCCACTGCAACAATAGGCTGTCCTATCTGCAACATGTTCTCCAAACGGAAAACAATGGAGTCCATGTTAATACCAACAATGAGGACAGCCATTTTCAGGCCGACCCTCAAATACAACATTCTGTAATAATTTACCGATATATTACCAGTTTTTTTGCCCCTTGGCTGTACGATAGCCGTTAACAAAGTTTTGCTTGGCTTCTTTGTATGACGCAACTCCCCTATTATTTTGAACCCTTCCTCCATGGGCTCATCACATTTCTCTATATCTGCTATTTGCTTTTCTTCATACTCGGTATCAATAATACGCTGTAGATATGCAAAATTATGCATATCTAATTCGTTAATTAGTATAGACATACCGGTAGTTAATTATTGATGTTTGGAGGAGATCTATAAATAAAAATAAACATTTTCATTAACGTATCACGAGAGATACATTAGGTGACGCTAAAATCATAAAAAACATTGTTCGATACCAATGCTTTCTTACCCATTGTAATTCGCGGACCAGTGACATTAAATATAATGGCGTCACGAACTGACGTTTTATTATAAAAAGCAATAAATACCACCAAATTATACAATATAGCGGTCACCCTTCATCTTTTAAAAGCTATCTGCAGCGATGAAATCGGGAATTAATAATATCCGAATACAACTACATAGAAAATAACAAATATCAAGTAACATATATCAACAATAGCAAAAAAAGACGCGGTCATCGATAAATCTTAACCAGACTGTCCAGTCGTAAGCGTCGTGTTAATTTATAATGCTTAAATAAAGCAAGCACGAAAATTATACAAGTTAACCGAAAAGTCTATAAAAGTACATCCAGCGAGAGACATGTTATCGCGACCAGCTTCACTATCCGAATGTCCTTCAAGAATGTCCGCAGCGCAACGTGCTTGACCATGATGTCATAGCTCAGGGATGGCGAACCCTTTTCACTCAGTGGGTCAAAAAAAAATTTTTTATTGGAAAAATCAATAAGGTGGGTCCACGAAATTTGATTAATGTCTTCCTCAATAGGAAACTTGCTGTTGCATCTTTTCTGCAAGTCTTATTATTCTTGGTTGATATTGCGTAGTTTTCAACTTCACACATGCAGCACTTATATCGGGACTGAGGAGATTTCTGGTCCTTGATTTTATGAAATTCATATGCGAAAACAAGGATTCACATGAATATGAAGAACCAAAAAGAGTTAATAATGCTACGGCAAATCTTTTCATGGTTTCAAACGAGTTTGGGAGAGAATTCCACTCTTAGAGAATTATATTTTCTGCTCTGTTCTCAATCGCGTTGAAGTCACTACCTTCCTTCTCTATTTTTATTTCAAATTTCTGAAGGCAGCGATTTTTTAGATTCATAAATTTCGTTTTCCAAACGGCACTTTCTTTGAAGTCTATCATTTCCATTTCCAAATTGGCCATTTAAGATCGTCGAATCCAATTGAATGCGGGGAAAGAATGAATTGCAAAACAAACTTCGCGGAAATAACATTTTTATCCTCATTTATGACACAAAAATACTTCTTGAGCGCATTTTCCCGATCTTCTTGTTTCACGTTGTTGTTGGTGAAGTACCTTAGAAGTTGTGGAAAATATTTCAATTAATCTTCTTTCAAGTCTGCAGAAAACACAGCAAGTTTTTTCTCAAATGCTTTAACATGCCCAATCATCAATAACGCAGTACTTCCACAGCCTTGCAATTTAGTGTTCAAAGTGTTGTAATGGTTTGTAAAATCCGCAAAGAAATGTAAATCATTCAACCACGTAGCTTCGCTCAACTCTGGGTATGTTTCATTTTTCTCAACTAGGAAACTTTTTACCTCTTTCAATAACACGACAAATCTCTGCAACACATTACCACAACTTAACCATCTTACATTATTGTACATTAGTAATCCAGAATATTCACTGTCGCATGATTTTCGTAACTCTGCAAACATACGTTTGTTGAGAGCACGAGCTGCAATATAGTTGACGGTTTTTGTAACAACAATTAAAACGTTTTGAAGGGATTGAAGAGCTTTTGCACAAAGGGCATTTCTGGTCTATAAGACAGTGAAATTCAACGAAGTCGCGCTTCAACTCTTGTTTTAGTAGTTGAACAAATCCAACATGTTTTCCTATCATGCTTGGCGCTCCATGAGTCGTTACCGACACAATATTTTCCATATCTATTCCTAACACAGAAAATTCTTTCTTCAATTCAGTCGTTACATCTTGGCCTTTTGTTGTTTCAGACAAGGTCAATAATTCAATGAGCTCTTCCTTCATTACATTTCCTGATGGAAATCTTGCAAAAACTGCTAAACGAGAAGATGATGTCACGTCGGTGCTTTCATTTAAACAAATTGAGAACATTTTTGCTTGCTTCAAATCAAGCAAAAGCTGCTCTGTTACATCTTCATTCATTGCAATGATTCTTTCCTTTACTGTATTTCTTGCAATAGGTAGCTCGTCAATTCTTTTAAGAAGACTTGTTAGGGAAATCTTCGAATAGCGCTTCTGAGCATTTCTAAAAGCAGTTTTTATATACTCACCATCGGAAAGTGGTTTTCCATGTACAGCAATAACACGAGAAACATGGAAGCTAGCAGCGGATATGTTGTTCTTATGCTTGAAGATGTTCTTGAAGCTATTTGTTTGCTGTTTATATCGTTTCACTTCTCTCTGAATGCGTTCTAAGTTTTGATTCTCATTCATCAAGTTGAAATTACCATGAACACTGGCGAAATGACGGTTAATATTGTAAAAGCGAAGAGCAATAATGTTGTTACAAATGCAGCACAAAGCTTTACCATCACGTTCGATTACTCCAAACTTAGAAATTCACTCATCTCGAAAAATTCTTCCAGTACCTCTTGCTTGCATACATTTCCCCACCAGTATTGTCAAAAATTAGCTAATGGGTGATCAAATCTTGTAAACGGAATTAATTCAATTCCGACCGGTATTGAAAGAAATTTGCGCAACAACTTGATCGTAATTAAAACTGTAAAGTTACAACTTTTACGTTTTGGCCTAACATCACATTTATTTGTGTTGTAATAGTAACGTTAACGGAGCTGTCTGTCAGTCAAGATCAGTGGTTCCCAAACTTTTTGAAAAAAATTGACGGACCCCTTGCAATTTTCTCAATAATTCCCGGCCTTGTGCACTAAAACAAAACATTAAAAGATTACAACAAAAAATCAATGCGCCGTATAGGGAAACAAACAAAAATAGCGCATCTCTAATGACATGTGTTCCATCCAGTCTGTTTCGATATTTGGTAAACGTGCAAAAGGACAGCGTCAGCAGTTAGTAAACCTGTGGTGGCATGAACTCTCGCTGTGATATTACAGGCCAACAGCTCTGTGACATCACAATGGGACAGCGTGATTGAAACAGAAAGTAAATATTCAGTGTCTCCATCGGTGATTGCGAAGCAGCAAAAAGCGATGACACTTAATTTTGTATCATCAAGCTATTAGCCATATTACAGTTTTGTTCCGAGGACGCTCCGAAAGTGCTTCACGGACCCCAAAAGGTCCGCGGACCCTAGTTTGGAAACCACTGGTCAAGATCAAACTTTGGCATTGTGCGCGAAACAATAGGCGTTATCATTAGATATAAGAATATGGTTATAGGTTTACCAAAATGAAATAATGAAAAACTTGCTGCATCTTATCGTTTTTATAATCCTGGGTTCATGTTGTGCAGTTTTCAGCATTGCATATGTACACTTAAACCCTGAAACCGTTTATTGTTATATTGATTAAGGCCGGTCCTATCATTTTTATCCCTAAAATATTGGTTTTTACTTTGCAATAATTCGTGACTTGGTGGGTCACCAAAATAAGACGGTGGGTCACTTTGTGACCCGCGGGTCAGTGGTTTGCCATCCCTGTCATAGCTCTTGATTACCATATGACAATTCACGAATACAACATTTCCCTCAAAAACATAGTTATTTAAATAAGTTGGTTGTCGTCTACTGCGCCGTGGTCTTGTATTAACAGGAGAGAAAAAATCCTGCAAAAAAAACATTAATTAACTAATTTTTCACATCGTATCCTTTACTTCGCTTTCGAGGCGCGCCACTTTCGAACTCACTGGAGTGTGTCTGGGAGGGGAATTCCCCATTTTCCGGTGTCTAAACTTTCAATTAATTATCCTCTTCGAGAATTGAGCGACACATCGCCAAAATACCCCTTCAAAGGTCCCCGAATTATTAAAAACAAATAAGGCCCAAGTGGGCGGGGCTTCCCACGCGTTTTCTCGCCATTGAGGAAGACTCATCTCGGTCTTCGCTTAGCATAGCCTAGAGTCAGCCAAAAGTAAATAAAAATACCATTCGTAGTTTTTATTAGTTATTTCTTTGATTTTTCTCTGATACATAGAAATATGCAAACATTAGCACTTAGATCAGGGGTGGCCAACCTTTCACATACCATGCGCCACGTTTTAAACATAATCTTTCAGATGCGCCGTAAATCTCTTGTATTCCCACGCCTAATGTCCGCTTCTTGTTGGAATTATATATATTTTTAATACACACACATATATACACACGTATATGTAGTTTTTACAATTCCACATGAATAGAAATTAAGCAAGGAAGTATAATAAATAAAACTGATCAATTTTATTTAAGTACCGCCTTTATGAGACTTTTGCTGCTGTTTTACTTTCGCCAGTTTTTTATTATTCTTGGAGTTAAGTATGTTACTGAGAGGAGCAGTGCATTCTTCAAATTTAAACATGCAAGTCTTGACCTCGCTTTGCTTTTAATTAGTTTCATGGCAGAAAATGTTTGTTCACATCTATATGTCGTTCCGAAACGACATATAAAACCCTGGGCAAATTTTCTCAGTTCTGGAAAATTTTCACAGGGTAACGATTGCCAGAACTTGATCATGTCAGATGCACTTGGGACTGAAGAAAGCTCATCAAATTTAATTTTCAATGATGGATGAGTTTTCAAGTCAATTAGTTCCAATTGTATATTGCTTGGCATCTTCTTTATGGTTAGTTCACTAAGTGAAAATGGGTTTATAAAAGCAAGTATAGAGTCTTCTTCTTTTGAAATATCATGAAAACGACTTTCAAATGACTCTTGCAATAACTTGATTTTTTCTGTGTATATTGCCAAATTGCCATTACCAGCAGCACATTCACGGTGTTCTTTTATGTGAGGAATTTGGACAAATCCTCTTTTTCCAACTGGGAAACGAAAAGTTTCAACTTCTTCTTGAATGCGATAATGTCATTTACTAAGCTTGGAAATATTTTGCTTTTGCCTTGCAGTCTCAAATTTAGATCATTGAGATGGCTAGTAGCATTAACTAAAAATGCCAAATCAAATAGCCATTTTTTATCACATAAAAGTGCTCTTTCCTCAGGTAGCTCGTTTTTCTCTTCAAGAAGTATTTTTTAGCTTCCAAAATCTATTCAGCACCTGTCCCCTAGAAAGCCAGCGCACCTCACAATAAATTTTCAGCATGTTGTGGGTTGATTTATAAGAAATTTTTTAGGCTTGGGCAATTCAACTGGTTGTTCAATGGGTATTGGGAGATATTTGGGAAGTCTGGGCAATGGAAAATCCATGTTTCAAGCTGATAAATGACGATTTTCTTTTTTTCCAGAAGTTCTGAACTTTTTACTTCAGTAGGGAAAAAATAGTAAATTTTACTAATTTTTGCTAAAAGTCTAGAATGAATATCCTAAAGTCCGTCCAAAAGCTAACGTCGATAATCGCCTGTTGTTTCTAATTCGAACAAGCCGTAAGTGGGCGACGTGGAGTAAGGAGAATAGATTTTAGGTACATTCAAAAGTCACCATGTGAATCGCAAAAAAACGGCTTGGCGTGGAGAAGCCAAGTGCAATTAACAATTTTGGCATGAAAAGGGTTAAAGATGCAATGCGCCACCTCTAATCATGCAATGCGCCACGTTTGGCGCATGCGCCATAGGTTGGCCACCCCTGACTTAGATAAAGGAGCACTCTACATCAGCGATAGTCTATCAAGGATTGGTATGTGCTTATCGCGCCTTGTAACATGGTCGCAAGACTTGGAATTATAATTATGCCGGTTGTAAGTCATTTAAGGTGGATCGAAACACACTACCGAGCTTTTCGAGAGTGACGTATACCTTTTCCACTTATATACTAGAGAAAAATTCTATTCTACCATTTGTGGTGCGTTGTGGGTTGTTTACTTTTTAATAGGTAGTCTCTACTTGATCAATTGTAACGCATAGATAACTTATTCTAAAATTTTAGAACTTTATAGATGCCTTCCTATTATATGGTATTAGTGTGTTCATTCGTAAAGAAACAATTGAGCCGTGTATGTAGGCTTTGGTGGTCTGCTAAGCATAAATTTATAATACAATTTAAATATTAGTGCGCGATGTCTGTGACACTAATATACATCTGATGCGTTAGGTTCTATGTAAATATGATGTAAATTTCGGTTATAGGTGTCAGGTGAGGATAAGAGGGCGAATTAAGCGCAATCATAGGAGATACATAAAGTCTGTTACATGCCTAATTTTTTTTCATATATCGCATTTCCAGCTGGTTTTAATTTTGAAAAAAACGTCGAATTGGCTTCATGATTTCTTGAAAGCAATTCGCCTTTGCATTTTTATTGTGTTTTACACAATCCTTCAGAATCTTTCAATTCGGGTTTAAGTGATTCCAAAGTCCTGCAGTTGATTTTCTCCAATCAAATCCGTTGTCCTCGAATTTTTTCTAGTTTTTGATCACGTGTTTTCAGGAGGTATTGCTATTGCGGGTAGGCTGAAAGTCTCGTTGTGGATCGACTTGGAAGACTTGAAGTAAATGACAGTAACGGAGTTGTTGGAACCGGAAAAACGAAGTATGACGGAGCTCATTATTTTTTTAACACCTAAATTCCAGTACGGCGCCTCTAAGTAACGTTAAATAAGCGCATTTTATGAAAGTGATTTAATATTAGGGTATGAGGTATTCCCAATTAGACCTCTCAGAGGCACGCAATAAGCAAACATCACTAGACCGTGAATGGGGAGTAGCAGAAAATAAATTTCATCTAAAAATCATTCGACTGTTTTTTCGGACCGTGCCCATGCCTTCAGATTCCCTATAAGGCCTCTCAGAGGCCGGAAATAAGCAAAAATCACTAGACCATGACTGGGGAGTTGTAGAAAATAAAATCCATCTAAAATTCATGCGACTAATTTACCGTGACCGTAAGTAACCTCTCCCGGTCCAACAAAACCCTCGTTTTGACCGAAATTCACAATGTCCGATTGCGCAATATTACAAATTAACACAAATCAACTCAAAGGTCAAAGCGATTTAACATAATATCAACAACAACGAAACATATTACGAATTAACACAAATCAACTCAAAGGTCAAATCGATTTAACATAATATCAACAACAACGAAACACGCTTGATTCATACTTAACCCTAACCCTAACGTGCCAAATGACAACCCCTGGCATTTTCAAGTCCCGGGTCCCGAGGAATCAATTTAGGCGATTGTTACACTTAGACGCGTAGAAAATAATAATTCATAACAAGCGGGGATGAATACTGTGCGTTTGTATCATAGCGACAGCCTTAATATGTGCTGCTCTTTTATTGGATGCTTCAGCTTAGGTCATGAAGGAAGGTTGATAGGACTCACCAATGAGTTAGTGTGTGAGTGATCAGTTAAGTTATCAACTGAACAATCTACCTCAAATTAACGACTTCAGGAATGTGTGATATTCGGAAATATACATAAAATTCGGAGATAGCTGTGTACCCTTCGACAAAGTGATTCCAATATGTGATCGAAACTACCGGATGTCGAGGCGAGAGTTAAGTAAGCCGTTCAAAAATCATTCCTTAGCGTGAACAATACACATCCTTTATATGATTTAAAACCCTACTATGCCGAATGGCATATATACAGTCGTACCATGTATGATTCATGCATGGTCCAACTCTAAATGGTATGAATGATCTATTACAGTCAATGTTCTAAAGATGTTTTGAAAAATATGGTTTCGACTGCACCATACCTGGTGTAGGTAAAAAGGATTTTTAATAATGTTTTTCTATGCTACAAAATTTCTATTGAACAGCCTTGAACTTGCGAGATTTTTGTCTAGTAGAGGGTTAATAATAATTCCTGTATAATTAATTTTTATTTCAACGTTTCCTTGTGTTAGCAAGAATTGTTACTTTAAAATTCACGATTGTATTTACAGAATTTTCAAGTTCAACGCTTCAATTGACAATTTTGATGATGTCACACCTTTAATTATTACTGCGCAGGCCCTCCCTCAATTCAAAAAATGTTACTTTTTCCGACGGAAATGCGCGTAGAAAGACGTAACATTCTAATGCGCGCCGTTACGCGTGAAGAATACCATAAATTTTACGTTTTATTCACGTTTAAGTGAATGTCCCGGTTGGGTGAAATGTGCACCTACAACTAAATCTTTGTTTTGGGTTTTAATACTTCTGATAGGTTCAGTTATTCTATATTTTAGATGTCTTCCCGTTTTTCCTATGTATTGCATGCCACACTTTTTGCAGCTTATTAAGTAGATGACATTCTCCGAGTTGCAAGTAATTTTCTGATTAATTGGATAAGCCTGTCTTTCAGGTGTTTTGCTTATTGCTCGTTTGATTGTATTGGCGAAGTGATCCAGATCCGAGTTTCGGCCAGTTGGAGGTGTCCATTTGCTGGGTATTCGTATTGACTTCGGGTACGATACTCCTCCAAATCTTCTTCTTCACTATCTGAAAAAATCCTTTCCACAGCATAATTTGGCCGAAGATCCTTGATGTCAAGCATAGATGAACTGAACTGCCTCTGTCAATTTTACACTTCCTAACGTATCTCAGAAATAGTAGCTTGTTGCTCATCCTCATCCTTTTACCTTTGAATGCCACATCTTCTGCTGCCTGTTTCATTACATTGGGGTCAATCATCAAGCCCATAATAGTTTTTCTGACTCTCTTTTACGAAGCATTTCCAACAGAGGGATCGATACTATAAGATCTGATATGACTTCAATTAACTGAGTAACATGAAACATACATTGACCTTGTAGTTTAGACCCATACTGCCATATGCAAGATAAAAACGAGAATATCGGTCGGTAGGGATGCCACATTTGGATTTCCGAATCGAATCGATTCGAATCGTTGCCTTTTCGAATCGATTCGAATCACACTCGGGCGATTCGAAAAACGATAACGTGGCTTTACAAAAAATAACGCCGACTCTCGATTTTATTAACGGCGGTTGTCTTCCAGCTATGCGAACGGATATGATTTCACTCGAAAGCAAACAAATAAGCGCTTGTCCGGCTATCTCTCTCGAATGAATTTGCGCTTTATAATGGGATACAGTTCTTTGTTTGATGAAATTAGCATTCATTTCAACGACGAAAGATATATTTTAGAGAGTGATTTGCCTTCTTTTTTTCGGCGAAGTGCTCTCGTTTTGCGTTAGTTTTGCAGTGGGGAACACACACCAGCGAGACATCTGCTAGTGGTCTGCAAAACTCTTTGCTCGCTCGCAAAGTCGAATTCACATATCGCCCGGGCTTCTTTGATGCGTAATTTTACGACAACAATTTTCAACAGGTCTGAACATTGGTTATTTCTTTATTGTATTTGAGAGTGAGTATTGAGCGATGTCGCAATATGTTTGTCTTGCACGCTATTGGCTGCTGCAATCGACCGACGTCGACCCTTGCTCTTTAGTTAGTATCTTGTATTGCTCTCTGTTGTGCGTGAGCGAGACGAGCTGTGATGGCGCAATCGGCAGTCATCTGCTTTGCCGGTCCTTTAGGATTTAGTTGAGTGTGAGTTATTAGATTTCTGCTATTGTTATTATTTAGTTGGGAATCAATAGGTTAGGATAGGATGGGACTTATTGCGTGTTATATTTACTAACTGTTCTGTATTTAGTTATTTAATCCTGGAATCTATCAATATTTGTTACCGGTAACAGTAAAACTCAGCGTGGGGTACCGTAGTCTACAAACTCTGTGTGCCATTTGCGAGTGTTATTGCCGTATTGTTCTGTCGTGTTGTCAAGCGGAATATTACAACAAGTTTTTCAGTGTTCTTCTGAGGTGTTGGGTTCAACAATTCAGTGGTTCAAGACTGAGTGGGGACTGATTGTTACAAGTTTGCATTGCAAATTGTAGGAGAACCGGGACGTGGTACTTGACAGGGTGCCATGCGCTGCTGTTAAACTCATTGGACTGCAAAATGTGCGGCCAGGCATCGGTAGCTTACTAGTATAACTTAATTATATGACTATTTGCAATGCATTTTTATTATTCAGAATGTCTAATATCAGTAGTAGCTTTAAAAAAATAACACCTAGGCGGCAGGTACGGCGCCCCAATTCCTTAGTCTGGGAACATTTTTCTCGCCCGTCAAAAGAGGAGGGATATTCATATGTGATTTGCAACTTCTGTGAAGAGAAGTTGTCATACTGCGAGTCTACCGGCAATCTTTTGAACCACCTCAGAAGAAGACATGCATTCATCAACACTGATTCAGTGCATACATCAAAGTAAGCCAAACCTTTTTTTTAATTAATTCTTCTACAGCCAGAACGCCATATGGGCTTACGTAACTACAGAATTATAGTTCTTAAACTCGGGTACTTAAACAGTTTCATCTAGGAAATGAAATAAGCAATGGTTGCTAAACTAACATACTGGCAGGACTGAAAAGATAAATAGAGAAATCAGTAATTAGAAATAATTTTATACTCGTGTAACTTGAAGCTGATACAAAAGTTAGAATTGTATTAGTTGCGATGTTGACAGTTGTGATGCCCAGCCAGGTCAGGCAAATTTATGTCAGAGGCAATTGTCCACCATATTTCATACTGTCTAATCAATAAAGCAGGTCAAGCCAGCAGAAAATTTTAACTAAATGTGTACAAGATTATGTAGCTGCTGTTTATATTTTATACATTTTATTTTCAGTTTAACAGCGAGCCAAGTGACAGAAGGCAGTGGAAGTGGAACAAAACAGAAAAAACTTGAAACCTTTTTTAAAATCAAAGTCCATTAGCAGACAAAGACAGAATCATATAGACAAATTAATAGTCATGTTATAATAGGGGACATGAGGCCCGATCAATATCGTAGAGGGGGAGCATTTTAGAAATTTAATATCAAATCTTGAGCCGGGATACGAGATGCCTGGAAGAACTTTTTTTGGAAAACAGATTGAAACTACATATTCGCAGTATAAATGCAAACTCATGTCTATTTAAAAGAACAAAATGTGATATCTATCACAACAGATGCATGGACAGCATCCGGATGGAAGCTTATATAACTGTTACAGCACATTTTGTCAATGGCAGGAGAACTACAGAACTATGTATTGTCCACTACACAAATAGTTGGGGACCAAACTGGTAATAACTTGAAAAGTTACATCCTATATGTACTGAATGATTTTTCTATCCCCCTTCCTCCATATTGCTATAGTAACAGACAATGGGGCGAATGTTGTTTCTGCATGTAAAATTTTACAACTGAACATGGCTGGCATCACATTCGTTGCGCTGCTCACACCCTCCAGCTGTGTAATCAAAGATGCCATCAAAAATACAGAAATAGCAAAGGGCACTAGGTAAGTGAGGCTGTATGTGATGCTAAATAAGGGGAAAGCCTGATAAATCTATGGAATGCCTACAAATGGATAGTTTGAAATCATATGCTATTTAAATGAAACACTTTTTGTCAGAATATGTTCACTGGATGTTATTTAATGTAAAAAAATTTTAAATATTCAGGTGCTGCGCGGCACTTAGTGGCAAACACTTTAGAAGGTCACAAAAATGCATGACAGCGTTGCGACGCCATGCTCAGTCGGCAGACACTGAATAAAAACATTGAGATGCCGATACGACGTTTCAACCAGGGTGGACTCCCACATTTGCTATGATAGCAAAATCTTGTGAAAAACCAGTGGAAATTCGTTTCGGTACCTGGCTGATCCAACAATTGTCCACGAGCGACAGCAGTCAGTCTTGAACTAAAGGACAACCACTGGACTTGCTGAGAGAAATTTCTATCATATTGAACCATTCAAGGTAACTAATCAAGCTCAGAATTTTATTTCAAAAGGTTACTAACTCTGTGTTTTGCTGCATCATAATGATAGTTTTATGAGAACTGAATTATATTGACTAGGGTTATTTGTCCTTGGGTTTACAATTCAGTGTCCAAAAATTTGCAATAAAATATCTTATTTTTAGACAGCCTCTGAATCACCTTGAAGGAAGTAATTATGTGACGATGTCATCTTTGCTACCAATTGCAAAAGGTTTAGTGGGTCAGTGTGAAGAACTCCTTGTCGATGAGCTTCAGCTATCGGCATCAAAGACCTTCTGTTCGACCATTCTCAGTTCGTTACACACTAGATTCTCAGATGTCATGTCAACTTCAGTACAAAGCGAAGGAGTAAGCATTTACCACAAGTCCACCTGGTTGAATCCCTTTCACAAGGGCAAATTTTTCAGCAGACAGATGCGAGTCTCGGTAATTTAAATTTTGAATGTTCTAATTTCAAATTAATCTCACTTCGATTTCTGATGCTGATGAAACATTTTTCATAGGTGCGGATAGCTGTTGAAACTGAAGCAGATACTTCTACGGCTCAGGATGAATCACGTCATGGACCCCTGCCACAAATGGATCATAGTCAAGAGCAAATGGAAACCGTGAATTCATCTAGTGAAATTCATGGACTTTTTGAGAGAGGCCTAGAGAACTCTGGCAGTTCTTCAGACTCGGAAAGTTCAAATATTGTGTCAGAGGAAATAGCTTGGTACTTAAAACGAAAGGTTGATGATAAAGAGGTCACCACCTGCACCATTGACCTGGTGGGATAACAATGGAGCCCGTGCCCTTTGCTCAAGAGAATGGCAGTGAAGTATCTGAGTGTACCCGCAACCTCGGCTGCTTCAGAAAGGGCTTTTTCTTCTGCTGGACTGACTGTTTCACAGTTGAGATCACGACTAACGAGTGCCCATGTTAATGAACTCAATTTTCTCTACTGCAATAAGAAATTGTTGGAGTGAAACAATATCTTCTTCAAATTTTGCTTTTTTCGCGAACTTGACACACAATATCGCAGGTTCTGACAGGGGGGGGGGTGATGTTTTAGGCACGATTTGAAGTTTTGCATTTTATTTTGGAATTTGTTTTCAGATAACAGATTATATTTCATTTTCCACTGGCATTTTGTTTTTGCTGTAATAGTGTATTGTTTGGGTGCCATGTCAGCATTAGAGGTGACTCAGTTTGGGTAATTTTTTAGCGATGAAAAAAAAAAAACATTCCCGGAATCAGATTCGGAAAGATTCGATTCGAAAGTTTTCGATTCGAGATTCGATTCGAAAAAAAATGTATCCGGAAGTGGCAACCCTATCGGTCGGAGACCGGAGACTTATCGATCGAAACTGCGGTTTCGAATTGTGACTCTATAGTGACACAGCCTGTCCCATTACTAATTAATTAATAACTCGCTAATTATACGACATAATTCATCCAATCAATAGGCTTCCGGTCCGGGAGATGAAGAATGCACATGCAAAATTTAGAGCAGATTCAACCTCGCCTTCGTGAGATATCGCGTGCATCCAACAGACAGACAAATAGCTATTAACATACTTACCGATCTTAAGATCGACAGGTAAAAAATGCTAGACATATGATTGTTAGCAGTACCTTCATTGCTATAATCTATTCTAATCTTTCGATTCCCACTTCACCACAAAGGGTAACTCATCGTTATATCCTATTATTACGCATAACATAACGCAGCCTACTGGTATCTTTAGAACTCTAAGCACTCAATAGATGGAACACTGACGAATGGGGCACCATGAACTCACTGAACCCGGCTCATTGATCCCCATAACCACCAAACATTTTCAGACCGCTTTATGTCCAGATTAGGAAAGCATACCAATCCGCCAACGACATGAATATTTTACATTGGACTTTAACTAAAAAAAATAGCCAGGCAATGGAAAGTTTAGAGTAGAAAAAAGAAAAGACTGAGATGCCAAAATTTTACTCTCAACACCCCAAAACCAACTTGGCCCCCCTATAACTCAAATCGCTCTGCTAGACCACTGTCTGTTTTGAGGGAAGTAGTGTCTCACCGAAAGGCCGTGTTAAGCGTCGTAACGCATGGCTGATTTCGGATATACTGAGTGTGAAAGCCAATTTTTCACTCCATGTCTCAACGTGGCCAACCTTCCCCTATAGCTGTGGGGCAGTGGGTGGTATTTTTCATTTGAAACCGGCTCATACTATTAGTGTGGAAATTGCTAAGCGGCAGCACCTCTTCAGTATATTTCAGGCGTACTGCAATGGTTTCATTATTATTGCCTTTGAAATCGGATTCGCTTGTCTTGAGAGTTGTTGTAAATGGAAGAATCAGTTTTCTGTTTTTTTTATGCAGGTCCCAACAGCTGCAAAAGGTAAGTATCTTATCAAAAGTCCCAACTGTATCTTCACATCGTTTCCTTTCTCTTCCAGCTTACACATTCATATCATATATATACCCACTAGACTAGAAGCATCGCATCTTAGGGAAATACTTTCCTCATAAGTGGATTACTCAGTGAACAGTGACTAGACCAGTAGTCGTTGATGGATGAAAGCTTATTCCGATTGGTAGACAAAGATGGAGTTTTTCATCATCATCATTTTGACTTGTGCAATTATCATTACTAGTACGGCGGAATCGTGGCCGAAGATTGTTTTGTTAAATAATGATACCCAGGTGGGTGTGGAGTATATAATGTTGAGCAATTTTCTTTAATTGGATTTTAGGGCGCTACGGAAGTATTCGTACCAAGATGACGCACATCCTGAACCATAACCTGGTACACATACAATGTTCAGATTGTGCGCCATCTTGGTACGAATACTTCGAGAGCACCTTTTTGTTGACTTTTACATAACCAACTACATAGGTTAGTTTTGAATGCGTAGTAACAATAAATCTTCTTACAGTCAGAAATTCAATTTTAGTACTATAAAGGGTAGTTAAATTTACTAATATAACCCAAGATCCAATGACAGCATCTGGCCACTTTCTTTTGCACTATTCAAACTACACTCGTGTTGCCGCGGGCATTTCGTTTTCCTGCTTAAAACTTGGGAAATATTTTATCAGTTAAAACGGAATGAAATATTGGACCTCGTCTCTTGCCTAGAACAAGGCCATGTAAAACCGTCTACTGGTATCGTCCACTGTAACGTCTTTACTTTTGGAAGAACCGGAACCTTTCAGGAATTTGTATCCTGTTCTAAAGAATAATAGTTTCAGCTTTTCTACAATGCGAAATTATATAGTCACATTCATTTAAACCGCGTGTTGGAAGTAAGTCCAACTCATTTCCAAGAAATTTTGCTTTCGATGAGCAATACTTAATAAATACTCATTATCGAAAACTTTTAGTCCCAAATTTCTGCTAATATAAGTCGGTTCAGCGTTATTCATGCCCTCCAATGTAAACTTAACTGCAGGTGCAAGCTCATAAGCGCCAGAGCTGCCGCTTGGGCAGTTTGTGCCATAACGGCCGTTGCACAAATTGTGCAAACAAACCTCAACGAAACTAACTCCCAACACTCTGAGGTGTTCTTGGGTTATACAAATGGGTTTTTTCACTTCTTGCCATAATATTCCAACTGGCAAGTTTGAACATATGAAACTGTTTGTTTCTTCAGGTGCTGGTAGAATTGGATGCTCTGTACGGAGAACCGGGAGATAACCCCAGTACCGTAAGCAAATTGGTTTCACAATAGTACATGGTTTTCCGATTGACAACTTCTCCTCAAGCCGCAAAGTGACAGACTTGAGCGAAGTCTGTGCAACGAGACATGCGATTGTATGGCCAAATTTTATGTAAATTAAACGGTAACACTCTGTATCATCCCATTTCATGTTTGTTGACGCCACACAAAACTGTTCACTTTCCGGCTTACGACTTCTGGCAGGAACTGCTACATGGAGAATATCACCGACGATTTTGACATTGGGTTTCATCTCTTCTCCATCTAGCAAAGTTTTATCGTCCAGGCAAACCTCTTCGTATTGACCACGCACTGTCTTCAGAACGTGCGCTAGCCCTTTATGATCCAATTCAGTTAATATGGCAGACATCTCTTATTTAATTTATACCCTGTTATATAAAACAAATTTATTTTCATAGGATTTTAATGGTATTTTAACATGTGTTACCAAATGAATATTGTCATTGTTTTTTCTGCGTGATGTTTAGGTTACATACTTTGGTTGTTTGATATATACAACAAAGGACCAAAAACGTAATAAAAAACATTTGACCATTTTTATTAACATATAATGAACTTTAAGGTACGCCTAAAAAGCAATTCAATACATTATAGCGGTGTTAGCGTGTTAATTTACAATGCTTAAATAAAGCAAGCACGCAAATTATACAAGTTAACTGAAAATCCGATTAGAGTACATCCAGCAAGAGACATGTTTCCGCGACCAGCTTCGCTATCCGAATGTCCTTCAAGAATGTCCGCAGCGATAGCTCGTGATCACCATATAGTGACAATTCACGAACACGACATTCAGATTGCCAATAAGACCCCGCAATAGGCAAAAATCATTACTAAAGATAATTTGGAAGATTTAATATTTTATTTTAAATCGTACACAATACCAAATAAAACAATTGAAGGGAAACATTGAAATAGGATAGGATAGGATTTACATATTTATCCCAGGGGAGAGGAAAGCCGATAAGACGGCTTATCCATATGGCGAACCACGGTCTCTCGTCCGGTTACCATTCCAAGTCGGGTATGGGATTAGATTTACTGTATTGTTTGTTTTCGGAAGCATGGACTTGGTGGTGGAGGAAGCCGTAACCGACCAGCGGTTACGTGAACCACCCAACGACGGCGAGGAGTCCAGCAATCCTCTCGCACATAACCATCCCTGCATTGGATTCGAACCTGCGAACCCACGCAGAGTAGTTAGAGGTGCGGTGGCGAGCGTATTCCTAACGCTTAGCCCGTTGAGCCACACCGCCGCGCAAATGAAAATGTATAAGATGTTGATGGCTGTTGATGGAATTTATTCTTTTTCCGCTTCTTCCGGCACACTCTCTGTGGCGACAAGTTCATGGTATTCTGATCCTGGGAAATTTTGTCAAATGGATGTTGATGGTTCATCGGTTCTTATTTTTTATAGGGCATTTCACATTCTTCCGACACGGTCTCTGTGGTGACATGTGTGGCGACAGGTTCGTGTCCGAATTCCAGTAACTTTGATCCCATTATTACCAAATCGCTTATATGCAGTTTGAATTTGCATGTGACCGTGTCGGAAGAACGTTTCTCAAGCCGAAACCAACCTAATATCCGGTAGCCTTTGTGTTGACAGTGTGACATTTTTAAGAATCCCAACATTTTTCGGTAATCGATTGTTGTCGCAGGCGATACAGACAGCAATTCCCGTTTGAAAACGGCCAACGTCAACTTCCTGCTGCTGTATGGCTCCCATTTAACTTGCATGCCGGGTATATGTATTTTGATTTGAGCCACCAGAATTCTATTCTGGCCATAACTGGCTGGACAGTCAATTCCATATCGGCCATCGCAATAATTATGTATACAACTTTAGATGAAATTTGAACTAGTCACTTTTATGTTTTCAGCATTAAAACTGAATGCAGCCACGTCTGTTGAGGATAATTGCCCAACAGGTATATCGGATATAATCGGGACTGGAGAGGCGCGAGCGGGCAAAATTGGGTGATTAGTGGTTATCACCGGTAATCCTCTCCACTCATTCTCGCAGGTCGTATCCGCTACATCAATATGCTGTCCTATCTGC